AATTTATGGTTTATATAAATTGATCAATAGCAAAATCGATATATTTGTTAACGTATTTATCATTGCGTGTAGATATTTTTATTAATATTGCTATAGCTATTGCTAAAATATTTATTGACTATATTAAATTTTCCGCTCGTGGAAACGTAACGTTAGATACGATCATGCTCGATAATTTTAAAAATATGATATATTACAATTCTATGTCAATTAATATTCCATATGAAAATGGATTAAAAATCAATTTGATTACTTTCCGCTAGTTGTCTACAGCAATAAATAGCGAATTTCAATTGAAATATTTTCCCTCAATTCTTCACCCTTTCTGCATTCTAAAACTGTTTTTGTTCTTATCTCTATTTATTCTCAATGAAGTATTTTTACAATTTCAATACTCGTATATCCTTTCAAACTCTGGCCAGGCATTCTTTAATAAACAAACATACACATGTCATTGGTATGTCAACAGTCGCCTTTTTGCTGTTATCCTTGCTGTGCTTCCATAGCAAGCGTCAGTAAGCCGATGAAAAAGGATGATTTGTTTTTGTTTGAAATCTAAAATAAAAACCAACAATTATTCGCTGTTAGGCTGTGGTATTGGTAAGTTGGTTGGTCTGTTTTTTTTTTGTTCACAACCTCTTTGTTTTTTTTTTGCTCCGCATTTTGTGTTTCTTTTTTTTATTAACGATTCTGCAAAGTTATCTGAGCGTGGGCCCGGGTGAACATTTAATAAAAAATGCTCAAAGGCGCCAACGATATAAAAGTATACTTTTATGCTCATATGTTGCTGCTGATGGCGGCTCTGAGAATTGACCATGAATTTAATGAAAAAACTCTGTATGTAAAATGAAAATCTGGTAGATGCGGGCGCGGATGCTATGCAGGCGCAAGATCGCTGTGTGGGTATACATCGGTGAATGCATACTTAAAAATATATATAGTCATACAAAAGTACATACATACATACGTATATGGTAAATCCTTGTAAGAAATGCCTTATCCATATTTCTCTATGTTCTTAAATTAATAACCACAAGGAACTGCTTAAACATTCCAAGAGAGAAGTTTGTGGAGCCAACAATATGGATATAAAGATGAATATGAATATGACTATTAATATGATTATGTATATGGATATGAATATAAAAATATATATGAATATGAATATGAATGTGAATATGAATAAGAATATGAATATGAATACAAATATGAATATGAATAGGAATATGAATAGGAATATGAATATGAATATGAATATGAATATGAAAATTAATATTATAATGAGTATTAATATGAATAAAAAAATAAATATGAATATGAATATGGAAATGGATATTAATATGAATACGAGAATGCGTAGTAATAGAAAAGTAAATATGAATAGGAATATGACCAATGAATATGAATCTCACCATGGATATGAAAATGAATATGAATCTGACTATGAATATGGGTCTGACTATGAATATGGGTCTGAATATGGATATGTATATGAATACGGATATGCATATGAACATGAATATAAATACGAAATATAAAGAATTTAGTAAAAATTGGAAGCTAGCTAGGTTCCCACAAAGAACACATCTCTGCCCTTCGAGAAAATGGTTTCCCTGTATACCAAGCAACGTTTAGTTACGTTCGGAAGGCAGGCCGGACGTTAAATGATGCAAGCCAATACTAAAAGTGCGCATAATTAGACAGTCATAGAATGTTCACTATACTCGTTCGCAATACTTATTCAGCCATAAGATGCTCGTAATAAAAATATACATAGTCCTGAATTTATGGCCACTAGTTAATCGTTTATTCATTTGTACACCATAAAAACAAGCACATTCGCCGAATCCCTTGGTAACGGTACTTAACATTTAGAGGTACATTTGTATATCTATCAGTGTGGCCAGATTTCTTTTTTCCAAATAAACTAAAAACAGGGCATTAATTTCATTAAACCCGGTTCATTTAAAATAAAATAACATAAACTGTTTAAACTATAGTTAACTAAACAAACATTGACTTTTTAAAACGGTACATTTATATGACATTTGGTTACTTTCATAATTTTTTGACTATTTCATTCGATACCTCAAATCAAATATCTCCTCTAGGATGTTTTTTAAGAAACCTTTATTTCGTAAAATACCAGAGAGTGTTGCAGTTTCTAGTTTATTTATTGTTTCATTCAAATTGATTTCGGAAAATATTCTTTCCACATTTGCTGTGGCAACTTGTATCCAAAGGACAGCTGCAAACATTTCTTTCAAATGAAGAAACGCTTCTTCTTCATCGTTCCTTTTTACGTTAAAAATTTACTTTCGAAAAAACCCGAAGGAGAAATTTTAATTTGTTCGTTCAAATCAGATATTTCGCAACAACTTTAATTTGTACCAGGGGGTAAATTCAAGCAACTGTAAGCCTGTCTAAAAAACTTTAATTTACAGTTCGACTGTGAATCTGGCAACATTGATATCTACATAAATGTAATTAAGTAGGCATGGTACTCGTATTTACACTGTAGCCGTCATTACTGCTATGCCCTCATTTCATCCACTTTTGCTATCGCTGCTAGTGTTGTTGTTGCCATCATTGCTGCCACAGAATTTTAATTAAAATTTTCGTAATGGTCAAGTTTCGAAAATGGGTTATTTAAAATTTTATGTCGATTGCATGACGACTGTAACTAAGTGCATACATGCATGGCCGAGGATAAAGAGCGAAATGAATCGAACAAACAGCTATGTATGTATGTATGTACATATGTATGTATGTATCTAGACTTCCTATCAGGCAAATAAGCAGCCCTATAGGTCCCACACACACACACACATGCATGCATATACATATATTTGCGGAAATGGCCGTTTAAGTGAAAGGGTAATGGATTCCTGTACATAGTGTGGCTCGTACGAAATACAAGCACTCAACGGTACTTCAATTTGCAGTGCATTTTACGCTTCCCTAGACCCAACTTCATATTGACATAGCACAACAGATACACCTACACACATACATACATTCTGTCAGTTAAAAGCTTTCGCTAATATTGGCGTTTGCTGGTAGGAGTAGTTAGTTAGTGATATTCCCTAATTTATTGATGTCTGGCTGCAGACAAAAATTTTCCATTTAAACATTTTCTATTGCCTGTAAATGAATAACGTAAAAAATTTATAATAAAAATCAAGTCTATACGCGAGTGTATGGAGCAAAAAAAAACATGTTTAAATATGTAGCCTGCAACGTCAGCAGCTATCGGTGGCACGTGCAAGCAAAAATTCATGACATCAACAAAAGTTACGAAGCATTTAAAATGTTATACAAGTTTAACTTCACTGCCGCAGCAATACATAGCAGCAACAACGTCGACAATTTTTTGATGCAGCTAGAAACGCATTAAACAAAACATTTATCAGTAGTCAAATGACGACTGACACGAGCGAGGTAGAATGACTAAACTTTTTACTATTATTCCTTTAAACTTTCCAACTTCAGCCCACTAAAAATCTGAAAAATTGTATTGCCAAAAAAAAAATATTGACTGTCTATGCCAGGGATGGGCAAATTTTTGGCTCTTAAAGCCGTCAAAGAGCCAGCAAGTGCTACGCAAGAGCTAAATCAGTTCTCAGGGTAAAGGGATGTACAAAATACATTTAAAGCATCATATATATTAGTAATGAGAGTCGAAGTACAAGAAATGTGAATACGCTCTTCTTCCCCCCTTCATGCTGGCTCCTGACGTTACCTATATGTGCCAAGCCGCCTCCTAAGTGCAAAAGACTCCTGGGAGCCACTTTGCCCATCTCTGGTCTATGCTAAAGAGTTTTGCTGAATAAAGCACTTAGTATTTCCCACGGTCCTAGTTTTTACATACGCGCGAAATTTTCTTATAAAAATGCATGTTTGCATGTCTAGTGGTGCGTTTTTCTTAGAGTTAAACTCTTCTGAAGTAATTGTTGGTGTTTTGTTCTGAATTTCCTTTGTGACTGATTTTATTGGAATTTTTCATCTAAACAGACTTTCTGCAGAGTTCAGGTTATACTATACATGTAATGTGTCACAGTCTTCTCTGAGATTCTAACATACTGCTTTTTTAGAGAATACTAATAAGGCACTGAACTTCTAGATTATGTTGCTGGCAACTTTGTGGGTTCGCAAAACGATTTCTATAGAATTTGTGGGAAATGACCACTTGCTTACGATTTTTAATGGCATCTTCTCTTCGAAGACTTGTTTTGCCAACGCACAGTTTTATACTATGTAATTATTTTTAGGGTTCTCCATCAATCTTCTCTTTAACGTCACAAAAGCCTTCTGTGGCACCGTGTAAAGTTTTTACTTGAAAAGTGAACTATGACAGGATAAAAAAAAAAAATCGATTAAAATTCGTTTAAAAGCTTCAACGGAGAATAGTTGTACGTGTATGAGAGTTACCTCTTTCCCATCTAAATGGCTCGTCAAATTTATTGAAATTTGTCACTCTTATTTTTTTTTTTTTTTTTAATTAGAGCTATTTTCTCAAGTAGGTTTTAAAATATATCTGCCCTTTAAACATAAATATTGTTCTGAAAAAATTTGTTTGAAGGGCAGATAAATGTTAAGACCCACTCGAGAAAATGCCACTTAGAGGGATATAGTAAGCTACAAGTTGTACCCTTTAGATGACGCTAGAATCAATATATTTGTAAATTGGATAATTGGATATGGGGATCCAGAAATTTAAAAAAAAAACACATTTTTAACTCCCTCATTAGATTTGCATGAAAGTTTGAAATTTCATTTTCACTTAACATTTCTCTCATCGTTTGCTGCGGGCAGAGGTATAGGATATGCCTACATAGTGCAAAAATAATCCCGCTTTTTGAAGAATGGTATAATTTTGATTACTTTTCCCTTAACAGCTTTAACACAAATTCATTCAATTCGGACTAAAATTATTCTACAGATGTTAAGTTTGCCCCGAAAATAATCATAATAATTTCGGTAAAATTGATTTTACTTACATATTACACGTCATTGGCACAGGCCTTTTGCATCCAAATGATTTAGGAGAACCTAAAAGTACAAATAAAAATTATATTTAATGCAAAAATATGCAATTAAGATTACTGGACATAAATTTTTACTTGTGTTATGTAGTTTAAAAATTGACCATAAATTCGTAGTCATTTAAAAATGGACCTAAAATCTTTGTTCCATTAAAACCTGGGCATACATTTTAGCCATTTTAAAACTGGATATACAAAACTGGCACTAATAAAATAGCAAAAACTTATGTATATGAAAAGTGGAGATATAAAATGGGGCTGACCGGTGCACTGTGACAAATGGATATACCTAGAAAATTTAACAGTCAATCGTCTATTTCTGACCATTCAAATATATGTTTTATTAATTTTTCAAATTGTCACCATCAATTTTTTGCTTTTAGCTTTATAGACAAAAATTATATGATCCACTTTTAAATTATCAAAAAATTATGTCCGTTTTTTTAAATAACCAAAAATTGATGCCCAGTTTTTGAATGGCCAAAAAGACTACTGCTAGATTTTGGCAGGCCAAAAAATTCTGTTAATTATTTAATAAAACAAAAATTGATGTTCAGCTCAAAATTGTGTCCAGTTATTTAATGACCAAAAATTTATGTCCAGTTTTTGAGCGGAGAGAGATTATCGCTAGATTTTAAAAGGCCAAAACTTTTTTTACCAAAAATTTATATCCAGCTTTTAAATAGCCAAAAATTGTCTTCAGATATCTGATTAGCAAAAAATTGTGTAAAGTTTTTGAATGTCCAAAAAGCTTATTTCTAGATTTTAAAAGGCCAACAACTTTCGTTAACTATGTACGTATTTTCCAAAAAATGTTTCTCATCATGGCCACATATTAATAATAGTTTTTTTTTTTAACCAAAACCTTTATTACATTATTTAATTTACCATGAATTTATGTCCAGCTTTTAAATTACCACAAATTGTGTGTAGTTTTTTAATTACCAGATATCTTCAGATATTTAATTAGCAATAATTTCCGTAAAGTTTTTGAATGGCCAAAAAGATTATTTCTAGTTTTTAAAAGACCAACAGCTTTTGTTAACTATGTATTTGCCAATAAATGTTTCTAATCATGGCCACATATTAATGATAGTTTTAAAAAAAAAAAACCGAAAACTTTATTAAATTATGTAATTTACCATAAATTTATGACCAGCTTTTAAATTACCATAAAATGAGTGTAGTTTTTTAATTTCCAGAAACTTATTTCTTATATGTAATAAAATCACTCGAAATCTTTACGATAGAATTCGAGAACTGCTAACAATTTTTTGCCCCTCCTCCTCCTTATAGGGAATTTGGTTGATTCGTATATCTGGTGAAAAAATAGTATGTCCACTTTTAATATCATCAGCTTTTATTTTAAAACTTCAAAAAATTGCTTTTTTGTTTAGTTATTTAGTATACAGTTATCAATCATAAAATTACATATATATCCGTTTGCCACTGCGTATGAGTGATAATTTTTCATAACGCAAACCGTGCACCCCTTCAGCACTGAAAGTGACAGTGGCTACATAGTACACAGGATGGTGGTTGTTATTGCTTTCGTTAAAATAGGCTATTACAAGTAACTGTCACAACAACTGTCAGTAGTTAACAACTGTACTTCCAAGCTTTAGTACATATGTATATACATATGTATTTGCAAACATATTCTCCATGTCAGCTTGACTGCATGCAGTACCACACAGCCGAATGCAAGCGACATTGACAGCAACAACAGGAAGAGTAACCAAAGCACATCACACAAGGATCAACAACTACACTTGTCTCATGTCACTACTTAGGCAACTGCCAACAACGAATGCGCCCACCCACACGTATCCGTGCCTCGAAATAATAGCCAGGTCACTACTCAACGCCACCATCAACCATCGCCAACACCATACACCACGGCAGCCCAGCCCTTAAACAATTTTCTGGAATTGTTATTTGGTTGCAAATACTGAATGTTGGTATTTTACAGTGTTTATATTCATGTACATACATACTTATGATTGTACATATTGCTTGAATTCGATATTCCTTTTTTTCACAATCATATTTACAGCTAGCAATGTGGTTTGAGCAGAGGTTTGTACTGCATTTTCTGTTGTTGTGCATATGTTGTTGTATGTTATTGCCAATTGTTGGCAGTGGTTTCGTTGCTGTTTACTGCTCACCGCATGTCGCTTGTCATTACTTACACTTTACATACTATGTACATTAGGGCGGGCCAATTTGTATAGGAAATTCATTCGACTATGCGCATATAGCACAGAAAGATTCTGCGTGAAAATCTAAGAAAATTTGCCGGAGAAACCTAAGGTCTAAAATCAATTTGGAGTTTTCCAAATTGCGAAAGTACGTTTCTTAGCATTTGGCTGTAGTGTCGTAAAGAAGTGCTTAAATTTTGTAGAAAAAAAAACACATATTATAAAGGGTTGTTTCTTATGAGGAATTCCTTTCTGCACTTACCTTTTTTTAAACAGAGGGCGCAACAGTGAAAATATTCACATTTTCTTCGAAACCTATGACCCGCCCTAATGTACATACATACATATATTGCTTCCACGCTGTCTATTAGCACAATTTCAGCTTGCACATGACATTCGGAATGAACACTACTAATACAGCTGCAGCTGCCGGTGTAACAACAAATGTAATATACCAAAAAAAAACAAGAATGTGACAAAAGTTAACATACACTATTAGCAGTTGTTGTTATTGTTGTTTGCAAAATGAAATTGTTGGCAATAGACCACAATAGCGGCTACTGCTGCTGCACCGACTACATTTTGCTAAAATGTAATTACTATTGTATTTGCTTTTGTTGTTATTGTTGTTGTTAACGCTCTACAACTACCGTTAATGTTGATAGCAATTACATTTACTTCTACATCCCATATATATGTATGTTAATGGGTAGCTGTTTTTGTACTCTTTGACACCACAGCGGCGAGCTATTTAGACCCATTTGATTGCGGTAATATCAAAATGATGCGAAATATTTTATGGTTCTGTGGCGTGAATAATTTTTAATTAGTTGCGAATTAAATATTAAATAGCTGTTTGAAATTTAATTAAGTATTCTAAAGGCAATAAAATAATAGCTTTATTACCGAGTAGTATCCAATCAAGCGAGGACTATTGGTTGGCAATAAAATTTGATTGCGGAACTTAGAAAAAATTTGATGACAAAATTTAACAAGCCTCTCATACATTACATCTATTTATGTTAAATTTTACCCTACAATTTTTTGCCATATTCATATTTGTTATCGATATATATTTTTGGAGTCGTTATCGATATCATCAACACATTAATTTTTGGAATAGTTTTTCAATATTTCGATTTCTCTACAAGTTCTTTCTCACTCTGTTTTTAAATTAACAGCGATATATTTCTGGTTCTTTCAGTTATCGATAATAAATATACCGTGTTTTCGATCATAAATATATCGAAATTACATTTGTCGATAACTGTCGGGTTATGGTACATAGACCGTTAAAAATTAAAAATCATATCTTCCAAGACTGAGTGAACCGTGATTATTTTTCTGAACAGCGATATCAGTGGAGAGAGGACAGTTGCCTGAATACAATATTCGACTTCAGAATAGGGCACTAATTGGCACATACCCAACCATTTTACAGGCGGTCATAAAAAACACTGTTACTTCACACAGTCAACACAGTCAAGTCAGCAAGTCTTGAAGACGGTTGCATAAACGTACTAGACTATGTATGAACGCGAAACAAGGCTACGTTGTGGAGGGTTTTAGGTCATGAGCTTATTGATGGCAGCAAAGCAGTTGATACTTCGCGAAACGCGGAGCCCAACGGAGCCTGTGTGGGCTTCAGTCTTTCTGCCGCCCGAACAGAGCTTCAAAGAAGGCCATAAGACCGTTAGAATGCAGCCCACTGGCGTTCGTCAGACACTAAAGGCAATCCACGAGGTATCGTTAAAAAGTTTACCTTGTCATTAAGTTTTTGAAAATGCGGGTACACTCCTGGAATGCGTAGCTCAATGGAGCCAGTAAATTCTTCCAACTTTCTGTCGGCCATACCAAGTATACACGAAAGAGCTTCCAAAAAGGTGGAAGGCATAAGAAGAGCCCAAGAGATTAAAACGTTCTGCTCTCAAGTCTCGCAACGACTGCTTCATCTTAGCAGGCAGAGTCTAAGAACTACAAATAACTGGAAACCTTACAGCACAGTGCAAGCTAAGTTACCAACTTTGCAAAATCGAACATTCTGCGGAGACGAAGTAATGGTTTTGCGGACTGACGAGAAACCCTAGAGCAGTGCCGACGAAAACGTGCACATTTTGTCTTTGTGTTTAACACCAATTTTAACTATGTCTAAGCGCAATATTATGCTCTCTCACACGCTGGCACGTACGCACACTTATCCAGATGCCTTAGACTTTCACACCTTGGAAAACGAATATTGTCTCCATCTGGAGGGCGTNTACGCACACTTATCCAGATGCATTAGACTTTCACACCTTGGAAAACGAATATTGTCTCCATCTGGAGGGCGTAGAGGGGTTGTCTACGACACCCTGTATAGTTGGTAATGTTCACTTCATCATAGCAGCTTTTTTTTAAGCAGAGTGCGAAAGCTTTGCGCGTCACATCCGCATATCGTACAGTCTCCGAATCATACGTGCTGTAAATAAGTGGCGCAATGCCTACAGGCTTCCCAGCTCAAAAAAAGAACTCTATGGAATAATATACCGAGGTGGCTATACAATGGCCAAGCAAGAACGGTAACGGAATGATTACAGAGCAACAGCACCTTATGGACGCGGGCGATTGATAAATGTTTACTTTTTCCTTTATAGAAATATCATTCAGCTTTTAGCAACCTGCCACAAATTTAAAAACTTTAATAACTAACTACATACATACACAAAGGCATACTTGTTTGCGCATGCATTTATTTAATTACGTTAAAAGTATTTAAGTTGTCATTTGACAATTCATTTAACGTGCATATATTTTACAGTGCAATGCC